TTCAGTTGATATTCCCAAATTAAATTAATTCAACAACTGAATTTTATCTTTTAGCTTTTCTGAATTTCCAAAATTTCACAAATGCCCTGAAATTTCCTCTATATGCACTTTAGCCGCTTCTGAGTTTCTGAAATTGCAAGAAAGCCCCTCAGTTGACCAGACTTTAACCAGAGAAGGCTTATTGACCAGCTATGACCAGAGGAGGACGCGCCCAATGGGAACTCGACACGTGTCAGGCTCCTCCCTACCCAAAATTAGGGTTCAGAATTGGGGAAAGGGCTTCCCCCTCCGCCTCTGCCTGCGCCGCGATTTGGAGATGGTGCACAGATTAACTCGCACAATAGCCTTCTCGGTGGTGATGATACTTCTGTCTTTGGGTTTTCTGAATGCAGGTCTGGCTTTGATGCAGGTTCCCATGGTGTTACGGTGATGGTGGATGGAGGTTGGCGTTGATGGAGACGCGATTGGGTTCCGAGAATGGAGAAGTTGAAGATGGTTCATGGTGGTGACGGCGAGAAGCGTGGTCTGATGATGGTGATGTGCGTTGAAGGTTACGATCTGTGGCGCGGCTTGGAGATGAAGGTTTCAAAAGCGGCGACCCTTTCACGAATGGAGGAGGAGCTCGCTGGTTTGATGGCGGCGGCCTTGGTGGTTGCGCGGTTGTTGTGGCTATTGGCTGTGGAAGAAGGTGGTTGATGGTGGTGATTTCAAAGGAGGCGGCAAGGTGTCCCGCGAAGAGATGTCGCGATCAAAGATGGAGAAGAGGACGGTGATTCTATAAGACGGCGGCGAGATGTTGGTGATGTGAAGACGAACTCGCGGATGTCGGTCATGGTGGCTTTGAACCCTTGCGCGAAGGAGAAGGAAGGTGGCGGCGGTCTTGCGGCGTGGTTGCGGTCATGGTAGCGGCGAGGATGGTGGCGCGATTTGGTTTCGAGAAGGGAGAAGATGAATGGAGGTCGCGGCGTGGTGGTGACGGCGGCACGGGAGTGGCGGCTAAGGTTAGGGTTTCAGTGGGTGGAAGATGATGCTCATGTGTTAGGGCTGAGGTGGCTTGTTCTGATTGGTTCACTAGTGAGTGCAAGGATCAGTGATGTGGCATCATCTGAGTGGTTCAATATGTTAGTGATGGACTGCCACGTGGCATGATCTGGTGAAGTTTGGCTTAGGAGGGGTGTGTATAGGAAACTTAGGGAGGTGTAGTAGAATAGGGTTACTGTTTGGCTTAGTATTGGGCCTGTTTAAGAGAAGAGGGGTGTATGTAGGGAAATTGGGAGGTGCAAGGGTAAAAGTTGCCTGTTTGGCCCATCTGTACATTATTTTCCAAATAAAATCTGATTTTGGGCCTTGAATTTCCATTTGGACCAATAAAACTTATATTCTCAGCTGCACAAATAAACATTAAAACATGCAAGAATAATTTATGCCCTAAACTTACTTTTTACGTCTCTTTATTTCCCAAACCCAATAATTCCAATCATCACAAATTCACTTAAAATCAACCATTTAAACACAATTATCCCATCAAAATTTTAATTTTCAAACATAAATGTGGGCATAAATATACACTCATCAGCAAGCTAAAGTATCTAACAGAGAAATCAAGCGGATATTGGAGAAAATAGTTGCTACGTCAAGAAAGGATTGGTCACATAAACTTGATGATGCTCTCTGGGCATACATGACTGCAATGAAGACATCTATGGGTTTATCACCTTATCAGCTTGTCTATGGGAAAGCATGTCATTTACCAGTGGAGATGGAGCACAAAGCCTTATGGGCGCTTAAATTTATGAATTTTGATCCTTCTGAAACTCAAAATAAGCGTAGAAGGCAAATGTTGGAACTTGAAGAGATGCGGTTGCATGCATATGATTCATCTAGAAACTACAAAGAAAAGGTAAAATTCTATCATGCTAGGAAGTTGATAAAGAAGATTTTCAATCTAGGACAGCAGGTGCTATTGTTCAATTCAAGATTGAAGCTGTTTCTTGTAAAGTTGAAGTCAAAATGGTCCGAGCCATTCATAGTGAAGAATGTGCGTCCACATGGAGCAATTGAATTAGTTGATACAACTGCTAGTGATCAACAAAGAAGCTGGGTGGTGAACGGTCAACGTCTCAAGCATTATTTAGGAGGAGAAGTAGAGCAATTATCCATAGTGATGAAGTTAGCGAATCCCTGAACTATTTTGGGTCAAGCTCGTGACGTTAAACAAGCGCTTACTAGGAGGCAACCTAGTGTTTTGTAATATTGAACTTATTGGCTTCTGTTTTTAGAATAGGGTTGATGTTCTCAATTTGAACTTTATCTGTTATGATGGTTTGCTTATGACCTATTGTGTGATAAGTAATGCTTGATGTGTTTTGATCTTGATTTATGTTGAGAATGTGCACATTATGTGCTTATACAGGTGGTTCACAAGCCTTGTGAACAAATGCAAGATCTTATGATTGTGATTATGATGCTATGCAGGATGTGTATGTGGAATGTGAATATGTGAGATTTTGAGCTTCAGAGTTGTTGTTGAATGTTATTACTTTGAAAGCAGACTTTGCCCAAGTTTGCTATGATTGAATCATTTGGTTGTTTGCATCATATGATCAAGGCCATTTATTGGAAACCCTTTTGTTAGCCAGATGCATGAATTTAGCCCACTAAAATAGAGCACTAAGTGTGATATCCTTTGAACCCTTAGCCTTGAACATGATTTGAAAACCCTTTTTGAAAAGCTTTACCTTGAGTTAAGTTGAAAATATTCTTTGGTATTGATAAATGTTCAAGTTTGGGGTTGTTGAAAAATAGAAAGGGAAAATAAAAAGCATTGAGCCAAAAGTTAAGCATGTTAAAAGCATAAGAAAATGAAAAGAAAAGCTCAATGCAAAAGAAAGTTGTGTATAATTAAGAATGGTTGTGTTTAGATGATTCTCTTAACTCAAGGGTTTTGTGATCCAAAAAAACCAATTGTTATTGTTAGCCGAACCACATTATAAGCCATTGAAAAGTCCTTGTGATGATGCTTGCTTGTAAGTGTATTTGATTATAGTTAAATGAAAGGCAAAGTTGATTCATGTGACATTGTGATAGTAGAGTGAATGAGTGAATATTTCCTATACACTTGTGTGTTCGAGTGAAACACTTTATCTAGTGAGGATAGATTCCATGAATGTTAATGCAACTTTCTAATTTACTTTAAACCCAATGTCTCGGTGAAGAAAGCCTAATCCTAATCACTAGTTTACAATGTCTTGTCTCCCTAGCAATTAATCATGCATTACATTCGCACAGAAGCTTAAAGGCAACCGACCCTCCTATTCCTATGTCTAGGTAATATTGCTTCCGGGAGAATTTTCCCAGTTCTAGATTTCCTCATATGTGTCCATAGTGACAAAATCAATAATCATGCAATTGAATAAGTTAAACAAAGCATGCATAGAGTATAGAGGAAAAACCCTAAAAATTAATGAAGTAAAGCATATATAATAAAGAATCAATTCAATACATGAGAGTTTCAAAGGATTACATCGTTTCCCCAACAACAATGGAGGTTTAGTTCACCATAGACATGGTGAAACTAGATGAAGATAATGAAGAGAATGAAAGATCAAACCCTAAAAGTTGAAGATCGGAGCTTCCGCGTGCAAAATCCACCTCCAAGGGTTGAAAAGAGTGTAATTTCGCCTCTTTCTGTCCAAAGATATGAACCCTAGGTCGACTAAAACCTTAAATAGTTCATTAAAAATACAGAAAACAGGCCCAGGCCCAAGTCTACAGCGCTTAGCGCCCAAACGGCGCTCAGCGGTAGCTACGACACTCAAACTGGCGCTTAGTGCCCAAACGGCGCTCAGCGATAGCTACGGCACTCAAACTGGCGCTCAGCGCAAAACTGGCACTCAGCGCTACTTTTTCTGCACTCTGGTTGACTGGTTGACTTTTCTACACTCTGGTTGTCTGATTGACTTTTCTACATTATGGTTGACTTTTCTGCATTCCAACCATTTGGTACTTTAACTCTTCTTTCAAATCATTCGAATAGCCTACAAAATCAAGGGAACTTAGCACAAAACCATTAAATTCACCTTCAACTCTCTTATTCACAAAACTAAAGCAAAAACATGAGTTAAAGCAAGTTTCTAGGTCAAAAAGGGTTGATTTATTATAAAAAAAAAATAACGGTATTTCAACCGGTATTAGTTAGTTATACTATAATATGATATTTGTAAACATTTTGTTGTCTGTATATATGTCTGTAGGAACAAAGTTATTTAGATTTTTAACTACAAAATGTTATATGTCTGTAGGAACAAATTGAAGTGAGTTGGACTTAAAACACTACTAATGAATAAGAGGTTTCCCTTAATAATGTTGTCTATTGAGTGTTAGGCTTAAAGCATTCTGGGACAGTGCGATGCATGGGTTTGGAAGACACTCCTACTAACTCATTCAGAAATACATGACTTTGACTTTCAGATTTAAGCATTGCTTCATCTAGTACTACCACATCATTAACATCTTCTAATCAGTAGCAATAAAAGTACACCAATTTAAATTCTCTGGTTCAAACCATCTTGGGTGCACTAAAAGCATACATGATAATTAAGGAAGGAAAGATTCTTGATGAATTGGTCACCTTATTTAATCCCCAACCATAAGTAAGTTACTAAACAAGTAGAAGTATTATGCTTGATATACTATAATTACCACAAGCATATGTGGTTGAGTTCAAGAAATTCTTAATTTTCTGGTTATGATAATATGCATGTGTTTTGTGGTTTTCATGTTGTAGAAATTCATACACTTATTTCATTGTTTATTTCATTATATATGTTTTTTTATCATTTCAACAAGCTGGTGATGCAAATGAGCTCGCGTCTCCTTTGGGTACAAGATAATCATCTGATATAGTAACATTTAGGGAGTTTATGATGTATTTAGGATGAAACTTTATCTAGTCTACTAAGAATTTTAAGTAATTATGGATTAAGTTGTAATTATATTTCATTTTAAATTACTTTTATGTCACTATAGTGATTTTAACAATGAAATTATATGCATTTGTGATGTCTTTTGTTACATTAATATATTTTAATCTTGTTACAAATAAATATGGTTGAAATAAAAATATAAACACCTCAAATGATGAGTAAATTAAATAACACAAGCAAAACAAAGTAGTAAACCCTCAAACTAAATAATACAAATGAGGGAAGTTAAAAACTCTACAGTATAATTGTCAAAATTGAATAGGATATATTAATTCCAAAACAAAAAAGTGCAAAAAAACACAGGTAATTTTTGCAATAAAATAGTTCAAAATAAAGGAGGTTAAAACCCCTTACAAAATAATAGTCAATAATAGAGGAAATTTTTACCTCCGCAAATTGAATATGATACCAAGGTTCGCGAAAAACCCCTCTTGATAGGTTATGACGACTCTAACTGTGGAGGTTTGAAAAACCCTCGCAAATTAATTTGCAAAAGATAAAAATCCCGTAAATAAAAGAAAACATTCACTAAATAACAAGCTTTTTTTTGTGAGAGTTTATAAAAGGTTTTAGAAAGATAATTATTTTTATAAAATGACACATGACACTACCACTACCATGTTGTAATGTCATTACCATGTGACACCATGTTAATTTATAACAATTTAAAAAAAAATAAAAAACTATAGACTTATGTGTGACCACTAGTAGAAAAATCACATTTTATGAGTGGTAAAAATGACCTATTATGACTGGTGGCCTGACATCATAGTTCTGGGTATCATAATAGATCTGTGCATTTTATGACGTAACAAAAAATTACATCATTATAGGTTCAGCGTATTATGACGTACTTTCTGTCACCTATCATAATAGGTGCAGTGTATTATGACAGATTTTCACTTATCAATCATAATATAGCGAATATATTATGATGTAGCTAGATTTACCTATTATAATATGTAGTGCTTTATGATGTAGATCTTTTCACCTATCATAATATGTCGAATATATTAGGACAAGTAATTGTTCACTTATCATAATATATGTTTTTCAAAAATAACCTTTTATTACATACATTGTTTACCTGTCATAAAAACTTGTTTTGTTAAAAAAAAGTCATTATTACATTTGACATATCCAATCAATTTTCTATATTATCATTTCATCAATCAATTTATAATCAATATAACATGAAATGAACATATTCAATTAAACTAACATGATGAAATTAATTTCAAACATTAAATTGTCTAATAAAATTTAATACATAATTTGTACATCAAACCATATATTAAATCCAAATATCACATTAACATACACTACATTGTAGTCAAGTTTCTACCATTTACTAACACTTAAAATAAAAGAAGTTCACTTGGTTCTAATATGTCTTCAATATCTGGAGCTTCCATTGAAGATAAATCATTAAAGATCTACAAATAAAATAATGGGTTAAATATGTTTTTAGTCCCTAAATTATTGGTTGTTTCTGGTTTTCGTCCCTCTTTCAAAGTAAGGTACAATTTGGTCCTCATTCTTTTCGAAACGTTCGTTTTAGTCCTTGGAATTTTGGTTTTAGTCCTCATTTGTTGCTAAATGAGGACCAAATTTTTAAATAATGTTTAGTTTTCGAGAACTAAAACGAACTTTTCGAAAAGAATGAGGACCAAATTGTACCTTACTTTGAAAGAGGGACGAAAATCAGAAACGGCCAATAATTTAGGGACTAAAAACATATTTAACCCTAAAATAATTAAGCTAGAAGAACAATTTTGTAATGAATAGTTAAAAAAGTATTTAGTTAGTTTTTTAATACCTTATTCCATGAATCAATAATGTTTGTACAAATAATGGTGTGCATGTGCTTTATTACGTAATACCCACACTCATAACTGCCCAATTGACGTCGACACTGCAAATTAAATAGAAATAATCAAGACTCATTAAAAGTACGATTATAAATCTTGAAGATCCTTAATATATAAACTTATTGTGAATTCAAAGTCTAGGAAAAATAACTAAATTATATCAATAAAATAACTAAATTATCATAATAACTCGTAATAGAGTCCTTTTTTTCCACTAGTGGATACATATTTAATGTTGTTAGTACAATATTAACAAAAATAACTAAATTATTTCATATTTTTAAAAATTGAAATCTAATTGAGACAAAAAAGTTGAGATAATAATTTTT